TGTAACAGCTAAAAATTTTAGCCTGTTTGTTTGCTGCTTCTCTGATTTTGAGGCAAGACTAACCAACCTCATTTTCAGTCCCCGATTGATCCTTTGGAGAGCAGCTCCACCTGAGCAATCTGCCACAAAGTATGTGCTCTCTTTTTTTCAGCAATCAGCCAGCTGGCACCACGGGTTAAGTGCTGTTATACCTTGTAGTTAGTATTGCCATCTGATACCACTGACCACTTAATTTAGTCCATCAAGTGTCTGAATGTGTCTGTCCTCTTGGGAGGCCACAGATGTCCCATTTCTTTCTGCTCTTAGCTGCTGTTTGCCCCGGCTTCATAGCACACACTTGATTTTGGCACTTGGTCCTTTCTGTTATCTGTGCCTGTTCCACCAAATTTCTTTCTTTCTCAGCTATTAAAAGCCCTGAGTCTAGCCCAGTATGTGTGCATAGGTGGGTATGTATATGCATGTATGTATATATTTCATTTATGCAGGTCTTGCCACCTCCCCGATCCTTTTTTTGGGGATGACATTTTGGGGACAGCTGCTGGCACATGCAGACATCTGCCATGGTGAAAGGAGAGGAACCAGCCCTTGAGAAAAATGGCTGCTGCAGGTCAAGCCTTAGAGACATAAGTATGTGAGGAAACTTGGCTGTTCCCTGCCTGTACCATATCTAGCTCTTTCTAATGCTCTGGGTCCATTTATTTCATCACTACTTAAAACCCCTTTGAAGTATTTATAATTTTTTATTGGGTGTTTCTAAGAGGCACACATAATATGTTTGGTTCAACAGTAAATCTGCTATGATGTGTTTATAAGGCAGGCTTTAGGGTCTCTGGAAAGATTAGTATTGAATGATGCAAGTTTAGACCGAGCTAGAAGTGTGAACCAGAAAGCCTAGGTAATTATGGGGCAGTTTCTATTTTTACCTGGAATAGATGAACATTCTCTGGCATCCTTATGAAAAGGTGACATTGTTTTATTATTGATTTATCTTCACTGTGTTTTCCCTTCAGTTTAATTTCTGCCCTGGTGAAACACTAGAGAATGTTCCTGTTGCAGCACCAGGGCTATGCACAGATGTCCCAGTTTGTCCTGTTATTAAACAAGGTGCATTATCCAGGCTGGACAATACCCTGATGGAAATTCCAACTCAGCTGCTTTGCCTCCTAGCACAGCTCTGTGCCATGTAGACAGGTTTGCATTGCCAAACATGATATGCTTGGTGACTGGTACAACTTTTCCCCAGTTATAAGTGACCATCAGGTGTTCACAGTTGGAACTTCTGAGCCTGTGATACTGGCCATGAGGCAGAACATGGAGCAGCTCTTTATCAACTCTAACAGCTTAATAGGGCATGCCATCCCTTACACCCACTCCAGGCAGGTGACTTTTATCTCCTTTTGTTAGTCAGCACATACAGCTTTGTTAATGCTCAGAAAGGAGAAATATTGCACTGGATAAAGATGAACTAAATTTAAAATTGCTACAGTTTCTGCAGTCAGTCTCCATTCAGGTAGACAGGTCTGTCTACCACCAAGAAATAGGAATGGGCAAAGGTTGGACCCTTTGTCCACTGCTATGGCTGAGCAAGCCCAGGGGGTGAGCAGTATGTTAGTATGGACACTATTGGTAACACAGGTTATTAGTCTTCCCAGAAACACATTTTGTGACTGCATCACGAGCTAGAAAATCTTCTAAAGTTATTTGTCAAGGAACAGGACAATGCCTCCAATTTAAATTTTCATGGTAGAAAGCCATTTTGCAGTCAGTTCTTGTCAGGTGGATGCCACTGTGGCCTTTCCATCATCTCCATCCTGCCACAGCATGCTGCAGATCCTAGAGAAGGATGGGTCCATAATGCAAGATTCTGTGTGGGCAAGCACTGTTACTCTAACCTGTTATTCTTGGGACTGGGTCTAGGGCCACAAAGTAGTTGCTTAGTGGTGTTACAATGCCAGCTGCCTGAACAGCTGTGTGGCAGTTTGGAAGGCCACTGCCTTGTGCCCATGCTTCTCTGAGAGCTTTTTCCTTTTTGATAACCTTCAATTGCAATTTCATTTTCTTGCATATTTTGTGCCAAATTGTCCTCAGGTCAAATAAGTCTCAAAAATTAAATTGGGCTTTAAGAGAGTTCATCCATTTTTCTTTGTTCCTTAATCATAAGAAGATGCAAATCCTGCAGAAGAGAGACAATAACAACTATTTTATATAATAATATGTGTATATGTATGGGCTTACTAATTGCAAATTACTATCTACCATGAGGAGAAGCTTCATTGTGTTAAAAATTTTTTATATATGCCCTTTAGAAATCCTAGCCTGAACACCTGACTTTGAAACTGCAGTGAACCAGATTCTCTGCCTATTTTATGAGATGATTCTTCCCCTTTGACTTGTTTAGACAAGAAACTGCTGAAAGTGCCTTTTAATATAAAGCAAAGATAGTGGAAATTATCTACTTCTTCAAATGCACTAGCTTCCCCCCCCAAAAAAAAGGGGTTTGGGTAAGGTATTTATCAATGTGAGTAAGGCTGGACTGGCCTAAGGCAGGTGTATTTGCTCGTGTGGCAGCATAGCATTTGAAGTCACTAGCATCACACTAGTTTTACTATTTCCTATTTTTAATTATTTTAAAGTATATTTAAGCCTAACTGAAATTTTAAAAACTTGGTGTATTGTTTATGATGTTATAAAATGTAGTTTAAAATTTTAAATAAAGAATAAACTCTGCTTGAGATGAAAACTAAGTAGAAACCAAGGAAATAAGATGTAATACGGTGCTAAGAAAAGGAGGAGAATAATTTGTGACATGCATTTTGAGCAGAATTGGTGGTTTAGGGTAAAGATGACAGTGGCATATGTGAGTAGTTTATTCCCTAGTGGGGGCAGAATAGCAAAGACCATAAAATCGGAGACTAGTGCAACTCTGGGCCTCCCATAGAGAACCACGGTCCTGCTTTTGAGGAATGAACAGAAATAAAATCCTGTGAAGCACTATGGCAACCATCACCAGGGAGACCATCACAGATCTCAAACATGTTTATCCAGAAGAATTACAAGTCACAGAGTGAGATGATATACTTGGAAATGGTATTTTAAAAGTAAAAACACTGTTACCTGGTAATTGCAGTGGTATGGAAATGTGACACTTTGAGTTCTTAATTAAACAAATCTGTTTTTAAGAGATACTGCAGTGAATATCTCCTAGAAACAGCTAAAGAGCTATACTTGGAAAATATCAGTACATGAGAGAGCTGGTCATTGTGCAAGAAGGGAAAGCAGACCAACAATGTCACTATAGTAGATCTGTAAAGATCTTTAAACAAAACAGATCAATGAAACAAACAATAAAAAAATATTTTATGGTCCTATATAAGAAAAATACATGCTGATATCCAGAGGTCATCATGTTTGTGGGTGAAACAAATTCCACTAAGTTCAATGTGGTCCTCATGGATAGCGTTCAGATGGACTTTGCTCAAGTTTGGCAAAGATGGAAAGCCCAATGAATGGTGTGCTCTGTTTTGTTTTAAAGAGGGAAATGGGAATTGTTGCATTCTGGCCCTGGTTATACCACTGATCTATCATACTGGGTAATTAATCTACTTGTTTCAAGTTTCTATCTTACAAAGGAAGATAGACGCTTGCTAGAGTGTTATGAAGATGAGCCAGTTACCATTTGTGCAGAGGTTTACATGTTCAAAGTGTTGGTTTATAAAATGCTGTATGTCTCAATTTGTTTGCATTCTTCACAATTGACCCTTTTTTCACCTGTCTTGAAAGCTTTTCACCTATCCTGCCCATGAGTCACCTTGTTTCTCCAGGAGTTTTACAATTTCACATAGTTCTTGTTGTCTCTGTCCACACACATCTGCAGAGGTATAGAAAAAGACAGTGTTGCCCATTCTTATTGCTGAATTTATGACTGATCCTGTAAGAACAATATCTAATAGTAGCAGTCTGTGCAAACGTGTTTCTGAACAAGAGTTTCTGGCTGACAGGCCTGGTTTGAATGTGAAACTGCATTTGCTGGTAGTTGGATGGTTCCAGTCTCCTGTCCCATTTCTCTGGGTATATAAATACCCACAAACCTTTGCAGATGACGCAGTTAATAAAAGATAATATTAAAATAAATCCAGTATCCCACAAGCCCCTCAGTCTATACCAGAAATGCCAGCTGGTGCTGCTTGATGACCCCATGGAGGAGGCTGGTGTCCAGGAGCAAGTCTGGGTCACCCTGATATGGCATCTCCATATCTACTTTTACCCTTTGCCACTTGAGAGACAAAAATCAAGACTGAAACCATCATCACTGATTATCCAGGAGGTATAAAGCACCCTAAATCAGAAAAATATTTCTAATGTTTGAGATTGGAAAGAAACAATTAACATTTCTGTAGCAGGAGCCTGATTCTGATTCTGACTAACAAAAAGCTGTTTGTGAGTAACGTGAAGGACAAAAGGAAAAGACAAAGAAAGATTATCAGAGATATATTCCTTCTTAGTCTCAAATATACTCTCATCTCTGTATTTCATTTTGCACTTTTTTGACCCTGATATTGTCAGTGCAATGTTACCTCCCATTATGACATCAAACCATTCCTCAATGCTTATGCCTTGGCTTATGCTATAAGAAAGGAACACTTTATACTTCTGCATTCTTTAGTATTATTCTTCACTATTATTGGCAGAAATATATACTGTCACTTGCACACTGACACAAATTTATTCTTTCAGTGAACATCTTGCCCCGATTAAATTGATCAGTGTTCATTTTATAAAAACATTTCAAGATAAAATGGATCAAGTCAGTCAAATAACCAAGAAGTCCAATGATTCTTTGCAGCTGATATCTTTAGTTATAGTAGTATTGCATCTTTAACTTCTTTTAAAGGCAATTAATTTTTTTGCAGCCCTGATTTTCTTACTGCTAAACACATAGGCCTTTATGACTGAATTTTCTTGGAATGGGGAGCTGTATGACTTTTTTGCCATCTAACATTTTGTCCTGTTTTCAAGGGTAGAAGAATAGTTGCTTGGTCTGATGCAGGCTGCAGCCACTGTGTGGGTCACAAAAGCACTCTGCATGGCACCCACATGCTTCCCACTGGGGCAATTGTTTCCTTTCCACTTGTGTCAGCATTTTGCCTGCATTTGCAAACCAAAGGCCACATCCTTATGGATCAATTTATTCGAGTGATGAGCCATTCAGGTGTTTTTTTTCCCTAGCATATGAATACTGAGAAAGATAGCATAGCATCTCCTAATGATTCAGTGTAATGTTTTAAAAAGTCAGGGCTTATTTCTAGATGGATGTGGTCATAGTTTTCCCTTTTTAAGTGCATATGCCAATTACAATTCGACTGTACTGCCATATGAATCAGAAGTGCCTATGTAGAAACCTGCTGATGTGGGAGTTTCAGGCATGCTTTAGTAAAGAGAAGCTGTGACTCTACCCCAAGTGCATTTCAGAAGACAATCTCATGCTCTGTTACAAATAGAAAAAACAACTACCTGCACTAGGTACACAGCAAAGATACTCTTTGCATTATCTAACCATGAAGAAAGTAAGAGAGAATGTTATTTCACTTTGTACGAGTTCCTGTGAAGGAACCACAGAGCTACAGCCACAGGCTTTGTTGCAAAAGTGTAGTTTAGACACTTGGAGCTATCTATTCTTGGCAATTATATAATCCACTTTTATAGTGAACCGTATAGGAAGGGGACTGATGAATTTACCATGCAATATATCAAAAATTATGTGTCAAAAATTCTAGGGCTAAGAGTTTCATACAGCAGCTCCCTCATGTCCCCAGGGCTGCACATATGAAATCAGAACCATTTGGCTGAGAAAAGACAGCACCAATTAAAGATGGAGTGTGGTTTACATGTGGTGAGAATCATGTGGTAAGTTTCCACAGCTCTCAGTAGACCTACACTGCAGAGAACCTGGCTCCTTAGATTCCTACATGCCTTTTTGTCAAAGATAATTCTGCTCTTGGAGATGCATGACAGAATCAGCAAGCTGCTGGGAAGCCCTGGAAGACACAAGACTAAAAAAGCTGGACTCAACACAGGTTAATACTGGGGGGAAATCTCAGGTTTTTAAGTGCCTTCTTCCTTACTCTAAGAACTAGATAGCACTGATGGAAATGCCTTGATTGAAATTTAACAATTCTCAAACAGCAATTTGTGAGTGTATTCGGTGTCAGACACTTCTGAATTAAGAGGTTTATAATGGAATATAAGGGACATAAATTGTCCTACCTTTTTAAATAGGCTTCAAGCAGTGCAATCTATATATAATCTTATAGCTGTCTGATTATTTCTTCTCATTATTTGGTTTGACATATTTCCTTTATGACGAGTCTGCCAGCTAAATGGGACTGGGCTGTTCAATTTAATGGCTTCCATTAGATAATAAGGTTCCTCTAGAATGAATGGGGAATTATAAGCAATTTAATTCATTAAGAGCAGCAGTGAGCATGCTGAATTTGAACTTAAAGGGGCTATGAGGAGCAAGAAATATTTTTATTAACTTTAAACTGTTGTTAAAATCCCCATGAGATCTATGGTTAGAAAAGAATTATAGAATGTGAACATCTTGATTTTTTTAACTAAATGCTTATTAACCAGTCATAACATTCTCAAATTTAGATAAACAGCTACATTGAAACATAGTGTTTGAGTAAAGCAACTTTTGGCTAATAACTTAAGTTTAGCATCAATTTCATTGAAATAAATGGATGTCTAAGACCAAATGAGCTTTTCTTCCATTTTCCCATCTCCAGAACTGGCCAAGTCCAGATCTTCAGCTTTATTAAAGCAGCTTTAATTCAAAATCTATTGTATTCAAAGAAATGTCCCTTTGGATTTCAGAAGAAGCAGAAGCAAGCCATATAAATGGCTATTATATACTCTTTGACTATTTTCTAGCAAAAAATTGGAACAGAATATTTTGACTACCCACAAAATAGTTGACGTATGCTACATTGTTCTGAGTTAATATCAAAATAGCTAAAAGCTGAAATAATTATATAAGGGATATTCTCATCTTTGCTTGTAATAGCATTTATACTTATTACCATAATAATTGTCTTCCCACTGCTGTGCTTCCCAGGTCACTTTGGTATTGTTAGTGGTATTAATTAGTGGAACTGCAGCCCTTCTCAGAACCAGGCGACTCTTTACTGGAACAAGAGCAGGTTCACCAGTAGTTTACTGGTGAAACAATTGACCTGGGTAAATATCTCGGGATCCTACAAGACAGTGGGAATGGGAAAAAGGAAAAACTGTCTGGGATGTGGATTGGTGCCAAGGGCACCCTGAGGAGCCTAAGAAAATGTAGGAATAAGGAGATCTAGGTTTTATTGCCCACATGTCACTGGAATGTTGTGCTACTCCAGTCAAGGACTTTACTTGGATGAACACATGTAAAGGGCTTTACAGACTTCCCCCCTTTCCAGTTCCAAAAGGCATAGAAGCCTTTTTGAAGGGGAAAAAATAGAGTTAATAAAGTAAATAATGACTACACATTATGTCAGAATCTTTAAAATGTGGGTTTATAACTTAGGTGCACAGTAAACTAAAAATTTTACTTCTTGATGCATTGCTATAGCAAATAATAAACAAAGATCTTTGGGAGAGATTTTAAGCACCTTAAATGCAAGTGACGTATGTGAAAAGAATCATAAAATAATTAAAGAGAAGATGTAGGTTTCAATATAACTTCTGTTTTCTCTGATATCAGAGACTGGAAATTTTCTTCCACAGAGACAAAATACATACTAATCAGTGTCTCAGGCAGCAAGGAATCAAAAGAAATGTAGCATGAGAATATTTCTGAGTATTTTTTTTAAGCTTTAACACATGCCTTTTTTGAATTCTTTGCTCCCAACACCAGAGAGAGACGTTTGTCAGACTGCTGATCAAACAGCCTAGAGGATGTTTTTATTCAAGTTCTTTGTTTGCAAGTTGTTCTTATACAAGTCATCAGTTTAGAGACAGGGACTAAAAGAGAGTGGAAAAAAATACTGACCTCCAAACCATGTTGTTCCATGATGACCACTCTCCTGGAGCTGATATCTTCTCCAGAAATCTGGCTCTTTTCAGTTTGGTTTTTTTTTTTTTTTTTTTTTTTTGGAAATTGTCCTAGAAAGCACAGGCAAAACTGTCAGAGAGCTTATAACAGCAGGAAATTCATCATGAGCTACCAAGGGCCAAGACCCCACACTGTATTTGCAAGCACAGTAACGTGCACTTAGTTGAGAGCATTATTATGCATTTTCAATTAACCTGGTTACTGGCTGTCCTAGACAGCTTTCCAACACAACACAATAAAAACTGCTCCAACTGACTTTAGTGAATGCCCCAAAGCACACTGACTTGTCGCATGCAAAAGGCAGGATTTTTTTCCCATCTGTTCATATGTATCAAATATTGCATGAATGTAATGATGATAACTTATGCCAGTTGGGAGATATTTGGATAAACTGCTTGGTTTTGAGTTCATCTTTCCTCAGACCATGTTCATCAGTGCTTGGATCCACTTTGTCCACTGGCAGTTGGTGTTTTTCTTGAGATACAGAGGGTTTGCTTTGTTGGGCTTTTTATTAAATTCCAGTTTTGGAAGGATGGCAGGTAGGATTTGGAAGAAAGAAAAGCAGTGCTTTTTCACAAGAGGAAAATACAGTTCCATTGTGGATGATTTCAGTGTCAGAATTCATCTGCTGCTAAGGAAATTTTTATTTATTTGAGAAATAAAATAATAATTTTCTCCTACTGCAACTTCTGTATTTGAATTGATACCTGTGCTACAGTCCAGAGGAAACAGCAATGGGAAGAGAAGTTTCTGTTGCAAAACAATCGGGTGTGAACACATGGTGTGAAGAATATTTTTTACAAAGTAACAGTGGGATGATATTTGGTGTTCTCATCAGCATTGCAGGGCAGCACCGAGCCTAAGGATGCCCATGCCCTGAAGCTCATGCCTGAGGCAGTCATCCATCTCTCTCAAATAGATTTCCAACCTGAGTGCACAATGTTCTTTGTGTGTGAAATTGTCTATTGACAGAGAAGCAAAGTAAAAGGGGGCAAAGTTTTAACTGTTTAGAAAAAAATCCTTGCTACTTAGAAGTTCCTGTGTGACACACTTATGTTAGTTACCTAATCTGCTGTTATCACCCAGAAGGAAGGTGGGCACAAGCTATCCAGTAAATGGATTTGAACCACATGGCTTGTAAAACTCAGAATAGCAGTGAGGTTATTTGGGTGTGCTGCTTCTAAAAAAAAAAAGTATTACTTATGTTTTCACATCAAATTAATAAAACTTGGAACTTGTTTCAGGTCTGGATTTGACAGATCTATGGATTTTCCAAAATTTAGGAATGCTGAGGTGGTTAATAAAAGGTTAAGTAGAAACTGAAGAGTAAAAGCAACACTTGGTAAATGTCCCCAAGTGAAAGGACTAAGTAGAACAAAACATTTTTGTTTCATGTAGCTGATATGGCTGAAACCAAGGGACAGTGACCTCGTGATGTAAAGTCCTTGACTTCACTTATTTGTTGTGTGAAGTGCCTCTTAATTAAGCAGAAAAGCCACCCAGTGACATGGCTTTGCTTACTTGTTTAAAGAAGCTGAGAAAGTTTTGTAGAGTTCCTTCCTGGCTGTGTGTGTGCTGAGTGTGTGGAGGAAGCAAAAGCAAATTATTCTGCCATAGCTGGACACCATTATGAAATTAACATTCAGCCAAATGAAGATTTTCCCCTAGAAAAGATCTTACATGCTTTTGCCTTTTCTTTGTTTGGTGACCAGTTAAAAGGGTCTGATAGAAAAGGACAGTGGAAATGAGCAGCAGCTTTTTAAACCACCAGCCCATCACAGTGGCAGCTGAGGATGGTTCACTTCTGCATGTTGCATATAGTTTGTTCCAGACTCAAAATGTGGGTTATTTAGAAGCCTGATTCCTACAAACTCTAAATGCCATGTGGGTGAGGAATTGCCCTTTATAAAGGGAACACAGCATTTCTTACTCCTCTTCATGGACATTAACCACTTCCTTCCCAGAACACTGCCATGACTTAGCTGACTCCTCTCTTTTGCTGATATGAAAAATAAGATTAAAATGAAAGTATAAAACCCAAGAGTAAAATAATTCAAGGAAAGAGTTCTAGAAAAAAATATTTCCATAAAAAGCCTTGCCTTTTTGCTATTTAACTTTATAAAGCCACTAAAGGGCTGCTTCTTTTGTTTGTTTGTTTGTTTTTGTTTGTTGGCTTTTTTTGGTTGATTGGTTGGCTTTTTTGGTATTATCTTATGCTTCTTAGGTCAGTTTTGTTGATACTCATTTATCCATGTAATCATTCCAAGGGCCCAATATAAGTAATAATAAGTAATGCTGTAAATAACATGATGGCATCTTACTATCCAAAGCATACATGGAAAATTATTATGCATAACAAAATACTTCAGAGGGGAATTAGCTAAGCAAATAAATGAAGAATGAGGCAATACACAGTGCATAACCCATTAGCTTAATTCCTATCTGTAAAAAAAGGAACCATAAACTGAGTAAGCTTGGAGAGAAAGTTTCTTTCCCCTGTCAACTTTCATTACTTTCTAAGGAACTGATCTTTAATGGGTCATTTATTTCATAAGCTGTCTGCAACAGAATTTTCTCCCCTTCCTTTGAAATCACTAGATATAGTCATGGTGAGAGACAGTGTGCTAGACCTGATTTTTACACTGACTTTTGGTGGGCTTATGATGGAATAAGGGGATATAAAATCCAATAGTACTGACCTTTTAAGACAAATTTGGAGAATATTTGTATCACTGAATAAATTCCTGCCACCTCTGCACATTTGTTTGTTGTCTTTGTAAAGATCTTCTGTCCAATAACAGTTAACTACTCTTAATATCTACAAATCTCCCTCCTTAAAAGGAGTGCTGCAATTATTAAGTGATGATGCCTGAAAAAGGAAAAAAAATTGTGATAACCTAATTATTGTGCATGTTAGAGTAATTTTGGGGGGCAACCTCTACTTCTCTGATTTAAACTCCATAGTTCTCTGATATATATAAATATTGGCTTACTCATTTTCTAGTTGAGAAATAGAGGAAGAGAGAGGTTGCATTCTTTGTCTCATGTAATGCAATGAGTTCTTGACAGGGATAAGAATGGAAAGCTCCAACTTGCCTATCCAGCCCTTGCTGCTTTCCTGGACATACTCTCCCAAAGGCTGAGTCCTATGAATGTACCCAATAGTACAGGCTAATAATGGTTGCAAAATTCACTGCAGTTGGTGGACTGACATTGCAATCCCTTACAGAAAGAGCAGATGGGTACTTTTCCATTTAAGGAGAGCTGGAATAGTAGATTATACTGTCCAAAATCACCAGAGTAACAGGATAAATAATATAGCCCAAATATAATGGCTAATGGGAAATTAAAACCCAACACCCCAATGTGAAGGGTACAAAATGTCACTAGAGGACTGCCACTGGAGGACCTGCACCTTGGTTTTTTGGGTTTTTTTTTCATTAAGTAATGGTATAATGAATTAAAATTTAACACAGTTTCATGAAAAAAAATCACCTGGGAGATATGGCCCATTATCATATTACAGGGATTTTGAGTAAAATACCTTTGGATAAATAAAGTTCAGCTGTATTTAGAGCATGATGAAATGGTTTGTTTTCAGCTCAGTATCTGGAGGTGGGGATTGGCTGCACAAGATTGAGAGATTCACTGTATTAAGGAAATACATTTTCCAGGTACATTTCTTTTACAAGTGTCATGACAACCAAACAGAGACACTAAACAGTGAGTCTTTAATCACAGCCATTACCACACCAAACACTGGCTGGGCACTGTCTGTGCTCTGCAGTACCACTTATTTTAGGATAAACTAATTGTCTTTCCTCATCCTTGGGAACTGCATTTGGGCACAATAAATAACTATGAATGTGTAACGTTGCCATAAAATCAAACTTTTAGTTATCATGAACCGTGTTCGCTAAGTCACAGTAAAAATACTACTTAATATAAATATTGAATACTACCTTAAAGCATGCTAATATAAAAGTTTGGTTGATTCAATGTTGGTTGAAACAACATGACAGGATAGTGATGCAGAAATATCCCATAAATGTCAGTAGTAGAATTAGCAACCTGTGCTTGAGTATTTAAAAATATCACAGTTGTAAAGGTTAGGGGGAAGAATTCTTTTGGGCTTTGTGTTGTTCTCAAGGCCTATTCTGATGGGCAAGAGAGTTTCATGCTGCTGCCTTAATCAACACTGGTCTCTGCCTGAACTACTCATCTTGCAGAATTAAAACAGTCTGTGACCTTACCTCAGAATACTTTTGTTCATCTGAAAATGTATATCTAGAATTAAGACGGAGAAATAAACCATAAATAAGTGACATCATCCTTGCTTTACCTAATATTTTCTGCTAGTGTGTGATAATTAAGGAATACTAAGGGACAAAAGAAAACCAACTCATTCCTTGGAAAGTGAAATGCTGTAATGACAAACTTCCTGAGTAACCTCGGCTGCCCCAGTGCATGCCAGGCAAGATGAGCTGCATCAGAGACAGCAAGGCATCAAGTTTTACTGGAACAATGTGCTACAAGGTCTGCTCTTTGAACTGCATCCAGTGATGCCTTAAGTTTTAGCTTTTATATTCTTTAGATCAGTACTGCTTTAGTGTGTACCTCTAAAACTCCATAGCCGGTCAGCAGCTGTTCTCCCATTTTATTTGGACAAAACAATTTCTCTATAGGCCTGAAACTCAAGGACACCTTACTGACTCAGACCCTGAAAAACATAAACAAAAAGTGAATTGGGGGCAGCAAACTAGGGAAATGTGTTTACATTACCTAAAGCTGTAATTGGACAATTAACCTCTGATATGCAAATAGATCAAACTTCTGTCTGAAAAACTCGTGATTGTTGTCCATCTTGGCTGCAGTCTCTGCCAGACTCCTGCACTGCCCAAGGTGTACCTTGTGAAGGCCTTTCAATAAATGCCTGCCTTTATCCTTTAACTCTGTCTAACCTCTGTTCTAGGTAGCCCCTCCGGGCATCACCAGAAATGAAGAGGTCATCAAGGTATCTACTGAGGAGCTGGTGAAAATATTCCTACAGTTCAACTGTTCTAGCTGAGCGGTGGCCAGATTCAGCTGAGGTTGAAGTTATCTAAAATACATACAGATTTTGGTACACATTACACAGTTTCTAAAATTTTCACCAAATTAACAGTTGGAAGTTTACTTGACTATCAGGTGAACTACCTTGAGGATGAAAAATGCTTCATAAATGACAACGAGAATTACATGATTTGTGAATAAATAAAATTTATGGTTTTATTTGTGCTCCTGAAACTTGTTTTCAAAGAGCAGCGATAATCACACATTCAGTAGTAGTAGTAGTAGTTCTCCAGTGTTTACAGTGTTCCACACATTACTACGTCTTACAGCTCCACAGAAAACACAGCTCTGCACACCAGAATTTTTATGAGGATGCTGTAAGAAACTTATTCCAGATTCTGTTATTACTAATCCCACTGTTAAGCTGCAAACCTACCTGGATCTTCTTTACAGCTCTAGTGAAGTGATTGATACTGAAATTTTCTCTCTAAGCATTGTGATGTCTGATTTGCAATATTGGGTGACATCTGTATCTTCTGTTTTGACATCTTTGGTTCTGCTCTGTATATCACATACATATTTTTTACATACATATTTATGTATATCACATAAATATTTTTTTCTCATATGTGTGTCAAATGAAATCCAAAGGGTGTTTCACTCTGTCTTACTCCAAATTTCATTCAGCATTGACCTCTTTATTTTACTCTTGCAGATCTGGAAAAAAATCTTTATCAGCCTCCACCTCTTGACTTTTATTTGATCTTGGTAGGTCTCTCCAGGCATCCTGGGACAACCTGCAAACTCCAGGGTGTTGACTCCTTTGCTGTTTCTGTGTTCATTGTGAGATGAAATGCACTACTAGCACTAGGTTAAGTGTTTGTGACTGGTTAAACTTTGCACTGTGCAATGAGGGTGAATGAAATTTAACAAGGCAATGGAGTGATCTCAAAGTATTTGTGAAAAAATTAATAAGAAGGTTTCTTTCAGAACATATAATTAAAATGTCCTGTTGCCATATATTTGTGTGTTTGTCTATGTATTGAAAATGATTGTCCTATTTTTCTTCTTTAAGGATTGGTACTAGATTTTTAAGTTGCACACAAGCATTCAAGGAAAATGATATCTTTAGAAATGTGGAACCTAGTTTTCCATGTCATGTATTTAGTCATATCTAATAAATATTTTTTGAAGTCTAGTGACTACATCTAAATCAGTAACCTTACAATTTTCTTCTACCATATCTGACTTTTTAATTCAGATTAAATTATATTTTTAGTATTTCTCTGGTTATCTGGTGTACAGAACATAAACCAGTCTAATATAAAAGGATTAATCTAATTAATACAAAAGAATAAGGAACAGAGATACAGGTAAACATCATGCAGCTTCTAGGAAGGTGCATTTCTGAAGTGAGAGAAATTCTAGTGGAGTCCATGTACAGTGATTATGAATCCTGCCGCTGGAAACTTTTTCTTGGTTTCTTTATTGTGCACCATAAATTCTATTTCATCAAAATGTTTTAAAAGAATGGTTTTGGGAATATTTATTTCAGTCATCTCCAATGTTTTAAATTTCTGTCTCCATCCTGCAGGCAAATGCTTATGTCCCAATAACCCAGAAATAAATTTGAAAGTACTTCAAATATATTTAATTTGAAAGGAAACATGTACTGTAAGATATGAAGTGTTTTCCAACCCAGTCCTTTGATAGTCTGTTGTCCCATAATTCTTACATAAATCTTAGTGTGTTAGCTATAAATGCAACATGCAGTTTGACAGCTATGTTTGATTTCAGTTCCCTGAATGATTATGAAGGAATAAAGAGAATCCATTTAGACAGGAGCAAGAAACTCCAGCCTTTTATTTACCTCACTTTTGAGAATGTAAATTGTGTTTGTTAATGAACAAGTAAAGGAAAATCAGCAGACAACAGAAATCTTTCAACTCTTTGACAAAATTTTAGATCTTATTAGCAAAATCCTTTTCCACTCCATTAGTCACAGGTAAAATCCCAGGCTAAAAGGGCTCATTGTTCCCTGATGTAAAAGGTAGCTCAGTTCTGGCTGATTTTTATTCACTTCAGTTTTAGCTGAAGCATTGAAGCTCAGAAACATTGACAAGGTCAGTGGTGTGCTTTACTGGGTACAGCTCAGACATGCAATTTTATGTATATTCTACCAAAACAACTCAGAAACTGCTTGCAAAACTTGTTCCTTTAAGATGCAATCAGCCCATGTGGTGAAATATTCTCTGAAGTAACTTAAAATGTGTTGATCACATTAAATGAAATAAAATGCAAGCATCAGTTGTCTTGTCATCTGTAAGAACACAGGCATCTGATGTTCAGAAGCATGTTGCGTAACAAGCAACATCAATACTCAATATGGCTCCAGCTGAAGTCAAAGCAAATTGAATGGAAGTGAGATCAGCTAGGGAGTTTATTTTATGTAAAATATAAACATGTTAACAGGAGAAAATACTGTTTTCTTATGTTACAACCTTAATAACCAACATGATTTTTATCTTACAGTTCTGCATGTGTGCAGGGTTCAATTACATGTACATGATAATTAAAAAGAGCAGATATTCATCCGTACACATACACCGAGTATTGTACGCTGTACTAGAAATCCAGTATTTGTATGAGTCCCCAGTTGTGTGCCTCATAATTCTTTTACCTCTTATTCCATCTAAAAAACTAGCACAAAATTTAAGTAGTTTTATTATGATTACATCATTATGACAAGCTAGAGAGGGACTATATATTTACAAACAGATACACATATTCAAACCCTCTGAAAACAACCGACCCTTTCCATATTTCATCCTCTTCTCTTTCTTCTTCCTGTTACCCTACATTCAAATTCATACAGGATGTGGTAGCTTTACTCCTAAAGCATCATGATAAACTATGGAGCTTGTGTCAGCTCTTTTTTAATGAAAGCCACTGAGACTAGAAAATTGTCTCCAGGAAAATCACTGGCACCTGTAACATGGCTGCCCTGATGTTGCTCTTGCTGTTAGAATGAGAGTTGAGAGAGGACTAGGAAACAATTTAGTATGTGGCCAGAGTCTGGTGTGGGACATTTCAAACATGAACACCATTGCAAATACAAAGCTGAGTTTAAGCTCAGCCTCTCCAAGGAATGTATATCTATGAATGAGATTTTGGGGAGCAGGGACAGAGGGGTTGCAAATACTCATTAATTATCTACTGCAGCAAGCAACATGCCTTGGTGAACTGCAAGATGTCTTCATGAAGGCCTTAGTCCTGCCACTTTGGAATACCATGAGAAGGGGCAGTATTATCTAGAGGAAGGAGGTTAGGAAGCTGCATGTCAGTCCTGCTTCTCCTATAGACCTACTGTGCTACCACAGAAAAGTGACTTACTGCTTCATATTCTTACATACAGTGAAGTTGCCACCTGCAATAGCCTTCATCAGAAGCATTAGGCTGTTAAATTGACTGCAGTGAATAGCACATACAAGTTAATTTATTTTACATAGTACAATAGTCCCAGTCTCGATAACCAAATGAAATAGAATTCATTAAAGAATTATAGCAAGAGATCATGAATAAAGGGAGTTATTTGCAGTTTCATATTAAATCAGACAGGCAAAGCCAGCAACCAAACCTCCTAGAGGGTTAAGAATCATTAGTATGTAAAATGGTGTGGGTTTAGCCAGATGGTCCCATCAGGTGATACCTCCTGATAGGTGTTATTTGACCCTGTATGCAAAAGAACTGTGTTATCTGAATAAATCTTGTAGACAGGTTCTAGCAATCTCTTTGAAGTAATGCATATAATAGAAAAATTAAATGGTTGTCTATCGAGCCTGGCCAAGGGCTATTTACATAGTAAGGGCCATGTTAAATTGAGAATACCTCAGTATCAGAACAGATGCAATAGGAAAAAGTTCTGGTTTTTTTCATTGATCAAAGTAAATACAATATCTAAAGCACTAGGAATAACCCTGCATTAACAACACAGAAAGTCACTGGCTTTCTGATATGGACACCACAGATGCTGTGCTCTAAAAACCATCATTTTACACAAGCACTTACCTCACTTCATTATATCTTTGCTTTATATTGGCCCAAGAGAAGAGAAGAAAGATGCAAAAATTTGTTCTGCTAGCCAGCATGCACATGGTAGCCAAGAATAATTGTGGCTCATTATATTATTCACAGTTGAGACCAAACAGAGCACTGATAAAATGGCAAAGAGAGCAATACCTGTATTACCAGCTGACTAACAGCTGACTCTGTGTCTAGTAAAAGAGAATTCTCCTGTACGAACTGGAATTTTCCAAATTCTAGTAATTGATAACCATGTCACAGATTGAAGTATTGCAGTAATCCTCAGATGGGTTTAGCAGGCAGAGAACACAAGAGGCTGTGAAATGTGCAGAGAGCATCATGTCAGGTACACACTGATGTGTGTAGCAGACACACAGTAAATGTTCTGCCCTTTTTATACATGAACAAATATATATGAAAATGCTTGAGCTTTCCAATTTTACAACCCAGCCAGGACTACAACCCTGAAAGTGGAAATTGTGTTGTAACTAGAGATATTGGATAACAGGATCACAAGCAAACAGCTGCAAAAACAGTAAGACAAAGGCAAAGTATTAAGCTGATTGGAATTTCACAAGATTGACATTGTTGCTTAAAGTGCTTGGGTTGATTACATTTTTTAAAAACTACATAAAAATTAAAGCAAAACAAATAGTATTAACCACCTAAGTTATTATACAAATACAGTAACAGACCAACAAAAGAAAAATAAATTAAAACAAATCCTTCTAAACAATACTAGCAAAGAACAGGTACACAGCCAAAACTTGATAAAATTTCTAGTATTCATTCAGCTGTAAGACACTGCTGACAACATCAGCCACATGGAGCAAAAAAGAGAAAACAAGAAGGCTCTGCTGTTGAGAGGCATCAAAACACTGGCAGCTGCAAGCTGTCAGCTTAGGTGCCAACTACATGATGTTGGAACAGAAGAGTGACTGAAATGTAATATCTGAAGATAAAAGGTTGTGGTAGTACTTTAGGACCCATTGTGTAAGGTGAATTTCAGTAGAATTTTGCTAGGTCTTTAATGTTTACACTAAACCTGATAAGAAGGAAACTCCTACTTCTGTGTTTTCTTTACTCCAACTGCTAAAGGAACAAGACTTTTCATATATAATCTAGCACTCTGAGGTAATGAAATTGTTAAATATTATTGACAGGAGTAATTTTGTGACTGAATTTCAAAAAGGAGTTCTGTTTCATTGGTATGGCTTTTCCATCACTCCACTCTCCTAGCTCCCTCTGCTATGTCACCACATCAGAAATTCTATGAAATCCCAACAGCCTGTTCTTGGGAATATAAAAGCTGAATTCTGAGCTCATCCTCTAAGGTAACTGATTCATCAGCACTGCAGTGCTGTGGAAACACAGCACAAGACAAAAAATGGTTTCTTTTTCTAAGTAGAGAACATAGTATTTATAAATGGACAGGGCATCTCAGCAACAGCATGGGAAACAACTGGAAAACTCCAATTGTTGTTAGACCTAATATACCTAGAACCTGAAATCGTCAAATGTAGTCATTTTGGGGAAGCACAGAATAGTATTAGAGATTTGTGCTAGCATTTTGTTTTCTAGCTGATAGCTGAAATGCTTGTATTTCTTAGATATTTTTCCATTCTTTCATAAGGGACTGGAAATCTATGCTTAAGCATAAGAGAAAAGGAGTTATGCTTTATTTAACCAACTGAAATACTTTACACCATATGATTATTCCTGTGGGGATCCCAGTCCTGCAAAACTTGAGTGAATGTGCTTAATTTGATGAAGAAGAGTTCCTCTGCCTAGACTGTTACTATTCATACAGCTTCTGGACTGAAGTCAAGGCATCCAGCACACTGGAGGCTGGATCCAATTTACACAATTGTGACCACAACTTTGTTAATCAAAAGAAAATGCTCCCTAGTTTAACCATGTTAATATGAAGCGTGTATTCCACAGTGCTTCAGAGCTGATGTCAGACTACTGATGCTGGACTGATGTGATACTAGTGCTGTGATCTGTCCATGGGTTGGCATGAAAAATGCTTTTTCATACTTTATGAAACAGCTTATTCTAGTAATTTTCCTCTCAATAACTATCTGCAATGATCTGTATATTTTACAGTCTAAAGCTGTCTTG